GTGCTTTGGGTCATTGTCATGTTGGAAGGTAAACCTTCTTCCCATTGACAACTTTCTGGCAGAGAGCAGCAGATTTTCCTCAGGAATTTGACAGTATTTTGCCACATCCACTTTTCCTTCTATCCTGACAACTGCTCCAGTCCCTGCTGCAGAGAAACACCCCCATAACAAGATATTACCACCTCCATGCTTTACTGTAGGAATGGTGTTATTTGGATGGTGAGCTGTATTGGATTTCGCCAACCAATCGTTTGGTGTTGAGGCCAAGTAATTCAACTTTAGTCTCATCTGCCTCAGAATCTTCAAGGTTTGTTTTGGCAAAGCTCAGTCGTGACTGCATGTGGCCTTTCTTGTGGAGGCCTCTTGGTCGCCTCTCTGACCAGTTTCCTCCTGGCTCGTTCATCCAGTTTTGAGCAACGTCCTGATCCAGGAAGGGTCTGTGTTTTACCAAATACCTTCCACTTTTTAATAATAGGCTTCATTGTGCTTCTAGGCACAATAACGCCTTTAAATTTTTTTGTATCCATCTCCTGACTTGTGCCTGTCCACAACTTTCTCCCAGAGATCTTCTGACAGTGCCTTGCCACCCATAGTTGATTGTTTGCTTCAGTTGCACTAACAAGGACTGAAATGCTCCAGGAAAGCTCTTTTCATGCTGAGCTCATCAAAATGAACACAACTGATCACAGCTGAAAGTCAAATGGCTTTGTGTGCCATTGAGAAGGTGATTAGCTACACTTGATTGAGTTTCAAGTCATTTTTAAGGGGAGGTCACACTGCACTTTTCATTCCATTGACTTCCATTCATACGCATGCGAATGCATCAGACTGGAAATGCAAGCTTGTGTGAAAAGTTTCGCATTTCTCTGCATTCCAATGTTCAAGCTTGGTGAACTCTGACCTGCGAATTCGCATCATGTGAAACCGTGTGACCAACAGCAGATGGATACATTACAGCATGACCTCGTAGCTGAATTAAAAGAACATAAATTTAAACCTGCAGTAAAGTGTAGTAGATTGTATATTTATACATTTGATATGTATTCGTTTTTGTTATGTGTTAAAATTACGTTTTTAAAAAGTCGCTGCAGAGTGTGACGTCATATCACGACCGTTGCAACGTATGAAGAAATTTCGTACACTCAAAGTCTATTGTGACCACGGCTTTTGGAGAGGGTGATCCTTTTTCCGACTCGGTTATTCGTTTTTTTTTTTTTTTGTTTGTTTTTCTGACATGTTGGTGTTATATCTTTCACTTGAATGTTATAAGTTGCACTGAGTAAATACAACTGGATAAAACAAAAACTATGTCTATCTTAAAGGGGTCATATGATGCTGCTAAAAAGAACATTATTTTGTGTATTTGGTGTAATGAAATGTGTGTATGCAGTTTAAAGTTAAAAAAACACATTATTTTCCACATACTGTACATTATTGTTTCTCCTCTATGCCCCGCCTTTTTGAAACGCGTCGATTTTTACAAAGCTCATCGGTCTGAAAAAGCGAGGTGTGCTGTGATTGGCCAGCTATCCAGTGCGTTGTGATTGGCCGAATACCTCAAGCGTGAGACGGAAATGTTACGCCCCTCACCAGAGCTTGTAACACTCCAAAGAGAAAGGAAAAATTGAAATCGCATCATATGACCCCTTTAATGTTCTGCAATATTCTGCAAAGCAACAAAATGTGATTATTTTAAAGGGGGGGGCATTATTTCTATACCCACCAGGGTTTCACCAAGTCAAATTTAAGACTTTTAAAGACCTTTTTAAGACCATTAAGAATTAAATTTAATTAAATTTAAGACCTATTCTCCTTGCTGGCCCTCCTCAAAGCATTTGACTTAGTTATTAGCTCAGCCATCTTACTGCCAGCCTTGCCCTCAGCCTCCTCTGCAAATTTGTCTGCATCTCTGGAAAGACTTTCAGCAACTGTTTGTACAGTGTTCCTCCTTTTTTTTTAGTTCCTCTAAGTAATCCTCTTCAAATATGTTGTTAGCAACTGGCCTTAACCAAGCCCTAAATTCATTTTTTTCAAGCCAAGTATCACTAAACTTGCACTTCCCCATAGCTGAAAAGCAGAGGCGGACAGTAACTAAGTACATTTACTTGAGTATTGTACTTAAGTACACTTTTTGAGTATC